GGTCCGACCTTGGAGCCAGCTCCCCAGCCATCAGACTGTGTAGTGGTTGAGGCCACAGTTGCACAACTTTTCCATGAGGACATGATGGGATACCAGGTCAAAGGCTTTTTTAAAGTCCAAATATATAATATCAACCTCTTCCCTTTTTGTCCAGGTGATGCATCACCTGGTCATGGAAGGAAATGAGGTTAGTCAAGCAAGACCTACCCACAACAAACCCATACTGGCTATCCCTCAGAATGTTGCCTTCTGTGAGCCTGTCAAGAATGGTTTCTCTGGTAATTTTTTCCAGAATCTTCCTAGGGGTTGAGGTCAAACTGTTTGGTCTGTCGTTTCCTGGGTCGTCTTTCCTCCCTTTCTTGAAGATGGACACCACATTTGGCTCTCTTCCGATCTTCAGGTACTTTGCCCGAGTGCCACGAGTTCTCAAACATCCTCACCAGTGGCTGTGCTATAATGTCTGCCAGTTCCTTTAGCACTCTTGGGTGCGACGTATCCAGATCAACTGATTTATGGGCATCCAGTGTCTCAAGATGCTCCTTCACAAGATCCATGCCAATGGTGGGCATACATTCATCTTCACCTCGGTCATCCTGCAACATGTTTGGCAAGGTGGTCCCTTTGGGCTGGTGAAAAACCGACACAAAGTAATCATTAATCAGATTGGCTTTTTCCTGGGTGTCGGTAGTCAGCTGCCTCAGCTGGTTTAGCAGGGGTCCAATGATGCCCTTGCTTTTCCTTTGACTCGCCACATATCTGAAGGACTTTGTATTGTCGTTGATTCACGTAGCCAGATGGAGTTCAGTTGCAGCCTTATGTTTTCTAGTTCGCTCCCTGCAGGTACAGACCAGTGTAGTATACTCTTCCTTAGTGGTGTTTTCTGTCCTCCATGGATTCCCCTTGTACTTCTAGGATCACTTAAGGAGAAACCACTTGTCATGAACTCCCCTCCCTATGAAATCATGGCCTCAAGAACAAGCATCCTGAGCTTATGAAAGTCAGCTTTCCTGAAGTCGGGGACTACTGCATTGCTGGCCGACTTACCAGCTTTGCAATGGATAGTGGGAGTGATCAGCTTCTGGTTGCTTTCTCCCAGCTTCCCTTCAGTTCTTAAGTCACTGAGTAGATCATCCCCGCTGACCAGTACCAGGTCCAGCAGCACCTCTTGTTGGCTCATAAACTACTTGGGACAGGTAGAGCTCATCCTCGCATGTAAGGAAGCTTTGTGACCGATCGGATTTGGCTGAGTGCTCATCCCAGGGGATGTCCTGGTAGTTGAAGTCCCCCATGAATGACCATGCACAGAGAGCATGCAGCCTCAGGCAGTTCCCTGGAGAATTCTTGGTTGAGCACTTGTTCCTGGCTTGGAGGTCCGTGGTAGGCTCCTATCCCCTCGTATTCTAACCTAAAGGGTCTCCAGTTTGGCACCCAAGGAGGACATCTCAGCTTGTAGGGACGTGTAGCTCTCCTTCACATAGAGAGCTACACTCCCGTCCCTTTTTTTTCAGCACGATCTCTTCTGTGCAGGGTATAGCTATTTATACCGGTAGTCCAGTCATAGGAGGAGTCCCACCAGATCTCTGTGATCCCTATGAGATTGTAGTTGTTTAGCAGAAGGACCAGTTCCTCCTGTTTATTCCCCAAACTCCTACCATTAGTGTACAGGCACGTAAATGTACCATTGGAGGCCCTAGGCTTCCTTGTGCTCATGGAGAAGCTCTGTTCCTGGGCTGGGGTAGGAGTAAATTCCCTTGAGCATCCTAATCTGCTGGTTTTGCAGTTGATGCTTGGTGAGTTTGCTCTGGTGGTTGTCTGCCCATCCCCTGGCAAGCTTAGTTTAAATTCCAGTCGAGCAAGTCAGCCATTCTGGCTGAGAAGAGCTCACGATTTCATCATTTAGTGAACAGTCCCTGGCTCTGGTAATCCAGAAGCCATCTCTCGTAGAAGGTTGAAATACAACAGCGCCTCAAATGTGCAAGTGCAGCCTTTGGACACCTGAGGAAATGGGTGTTCAAAGATTACAACATCAGATTCAACACAAAGCTAAGCTCATGGTTTATCAAACAGTTGCTGTACAGAGCTGAGATATGGACAACATACACGAGACATCTAAAACAGTTGGAGAAGTACCATCCACGCTGCCTGTGGAAGATCTTCCAAATCCAGTGGGAAGACGGACACGCCAATGTTGGCGTTCTTCTGCAAGCAAACGCCCCGAGTATGGAGGTGATGATCTTCCAATATCAATTTTTTGGGGCCAGCATGTCATCTGGATGGTCAACGTCAGAGTTCCAAAGCAAGCTTTTCTCCCAGCTCAGCCAAGATGTACCCTCAAGAGGAGGGCAGAGAAAGTGCTTCAGGGACATCCTCAAGACCAACTTAAAAAAAATGCAACCTTGATGTCAACATTGGGAGACTATCACCCAGACTGAGAGAGATGATAGGATTATTAATGACTGCAGAGTGTTACACCTGATGTGAAAATCGGCACCTCCCGTTTTAGTAAATCTCGGCCCCCCCCCACCTGTGGATTAGCACCGACTCACAAGAGAGAATTCTGTTACCTTGACTCATTTTACTAATTCCTGCTGCACCTAGTAGTACCTCACAGCTGTCCTGTGGCTTGCAACAACCCTACTTAGCCTTAATGACATAGCTGTTCATGATGTAGCAGGTCTGCTAGAACAGAAGGCGTGGCTTACAGGATTTCCCTTAGTGCAAAGCACAGAACTGTTATGCCAAGCTCTACCATTCCTTGAAGAAACATTTGATGTAACGGGCAGGATGCTTAGGGGTTTTTTATTGGATCAAGGCAAATATTGACCAGTTTTCCTCCTGAAATTATATTATGAGCTAGCATTTGATCCAAGTATCTGATCTACTTGCTGGACCTTCCTTTTCTTTCCAAAGGAAACACATTCTTCAATCCCATGGATGGGTGCCTGTACAGGAGCACAGAAGCTGCACCGATGCACTGTAATTACAGTGCATTGGAGCAGACTGGACCATGGCAATTTCTGTGCTCCAGCAGCCTCCTGCATCTTGTGTATCAGTGCCCCCATGCTTAAAAACAACAGCAGGGACATTTGAACTAAATGCTTGTTGAATGAGCCTTAGTTCAGGTGCCCCCACACTGACACGTGAGACACAGTGGCGCTTTAATAAGAACAGCTCTTAGAGGTGCTGTAATTAAAGCATTTCCCCCTACCCCTAGAGCACATGTAAAAGTGCCCGATGTGACTAACTCTGGACTTAGTGTTTTGGTTAAAACTAAGTTTCCATCAGATCTGGTTTTCTGAGAGAATAATCTAACAGGAATTTTCAGGACATGAAAGTTGAAATCTAAATAGTGCTGGGTTCCCTGATGTCATGTGGCTGCTGGTAAACGTTGTACCAATTTGCCTGCAATGGTGTTTTTAGTTAAATTAAGGCTCTATTGTCTCTCTGATGAGACCATTCAAAACTGGTAGTCATTTGTTAAAATCTTAGCCAAAACATCTGAGGGAGACTCCCAAAGAAGTTAAAGGAATTACAAGTCAATTAAGTCAAGGGGACAGATTCACCTAAAGCTCTTAAACTGAAAATCTTCCCCACTATAGTAGGCTACATAATCCTAGAGATGATGCGACCATAGTATGCTTGGCCCAATATCTATGAAAAGCTAACTTCACAGCATAAGAAAATAAATACATGGTTAGTCATCAGTATCTATTTTAGATGCTTTAGGGCAGGGTATGTGAATTTCCTGTATTTTCTATAGTTGCAATATTTTTTCTTTCTTTAAAGAAAGCTGGATGGAGTTGGTGTAATAATTTCTGGTGTGGTAAGCCACAGTCCTTTGTTTATATTGGCTTTAAGCTAGGAAGTAATATACCTTGTCTTGACGGAAATGACAGGCATTTAATGTTGTGAATTCCCTGACAATTAATGAACTTTTTTTTTTTAAATTTAAAAAAGGTGTCTTGTGAACTGCTAGTGAACTGTACTTTGGCAGTTTCTCAGGGACTGGCTAGCCAAGCAATGACAAAAGACCTAAATGTTGGTTGTTACCCCTGAGAGGAAGCATCACCAAAAGCTTGTCTATGTAAGTAAGCTATATAGGTATAACATGTGATGTGAGTTTCAGCCTATGTGGTTAAGCTGGTGTAAAAGGTGTGCAGATGCTTTTATTTTGGTATAAAGACAGCATACTACTCGGTTACATTTAGTTATTTTGGTTCACTTAAACCTATTAATAAGGCATTCTTAAAGCATACATTTCTGCATAGTCTTCTGCCTATGTTCAGCTATATTGGTTTAAAGGTCAGTCCTTTGTCCCAGGACTCTGAGAGCTCTAGAAGGCTGTAGAGCAAAGGGAATATGTTGTGACACTTTCCTAAGGGGCTAATGCTGTTCCTGATTAAATTCCATAAGTATTTGCCTTGGCTTTGTCTGACATATTTAGCTCATTTGAGTCGTTTGGGTTTTTTTTGGTAGCATGGCTTGCATTTAGCGGCCAACATCCCTCAGCCATGCTATACCATACAGCAGTGACTATTCTCTGTATCAGCAGGTTTAGGCCGTTGGTCCGGAACAGCAGCACTTTTTAAAATGAATGATCTTTGACTTTGTCCTGCTTGTACTGCACAGAATTTACTTTGTAGCTAGCTCTCCGAAGTGTTAGTAAATGATGATATTTATCATATATTTGGTTTGGAACTGGTATCTGCCTCAGGTGACAAGCAGGGTTTGAATTTGGGAATTCTGACACTTGACCTCTGCTAGGTGTCCTAAAAGAGTAATACCATTAGCTGGTAGCAATAGTAAACTCTTATTGATGAGCAGACCTACTACTAGAGGGGAATGTGACACATGGCTTACTTGGCTTAAAAACCTTTATAGTGTTTTTCCAAAGCCAGTCCTGCGTTTAGCAGGTTGAAAGATATTGGATCTCAAAATCTTATTTCCTTTCTATTACATGTCCCATGATTATATTTTTCCTGTCTCCTTTTCTAGCAATCTACAATTACAATGCTGCCCAAGATGTTGAGCTGTCTTTGCAGGTTGGGGATACCGTGCACATTTTGGAAATGTACGAAGGTAAGTCTTAGGATTGCCACCTTCTCAAGTGGCAGCAGTTTGCGGAAAGTAAATGTCAGAAAGCAAGTTTTAAATATATGGCTTTTCTTTCAAGGTGTTAGGCTGGAGAAAAGGGGAAATGCCTGTTCTTTTATTGTACAACTGAAATAATACTTGACAAAAGGCATACCTGAAAAGGCCCCAGGCTCCAAGTGGTGGTGTTGGGCAGTGGAGGGGCTGGCTGGGCACAAGGATGATGAAGTACAGAGCTGTGTGGCAGGCAGGAGTCTGGCTCCTGGCTGTCTGGAGCGATGGGACAATTTGCACCTGTGGTTAGCACCTACACATGTTTAATCTTAGTTAATTACTCCACTGTAAGATAGTACTGTCCCTAACAATACTATTTTTATGGTGGAGTTAATTAGTTTAATCTGACTTTATACAGCTGCACCTGTAGATGGTGATACTATACTGCACAGCAGATTAGTCTGTTATTGTAAAGTGCACGTGTAGATGCACCCACATTGTAACAAGCATCAACTATCTGCATAATGGGGAAACGCCTGAACTGCTTAACTGCATATAGCATCTTTCAGCCCTGCTGTCCACTTGGTAACTAAATTGTTCTCTGTTTAACTGTGGCAGAAAGAGGAAAGGGAAGCAACTATCAACAGTCTGCAGCAGTTAGTCTTGTAAATGAAGGGAGTTAGGCAGTTCGAAGTGTACTAATACCACAGGATTGACAGGCCTGTGTACTTAATAAGCATTGCTAATGATAAATTTTTAAGTGTGTGGCCTTTTTCTCAGCCTGGGGAGGGCACCCAGCTCAGTGGCACACCGTTTATTTGGGAAAGCTATTGTATAATATTGACACTTTCATATACCAAATCCTCTTTTCCTGTGTGCGTGCTTATAATAATAGATGTCTCTCTAGTTAACATCCTGGATTCCCCTGCTATCTGAAGCTGGTAGAAAAGATTCTTGCTCATTTTTAGCTGGCCACAGTTCAGTGATCTCATTACTTCCAGGCCTTCTGCGCTCTCTGCTAATACTCTGGATAGAGTCCAGCAGACTACTCAAGATGGGACAGCTTTGGCTGTTGAGAAGAATACACTTTAGAGGTTAATTTTGAATGTTTACAACTTGCTTTTTCAAGAAACAAATGTTTTTATTAGAATTTTCTGGGGGTTTTTTTGACTAATTTCTTCATGCCCAAGAAAATTTCCATTTAAACAACTTAAAATGAAAGAACTTCTTAGTTATTTCTGGAATTCTTTGGGGAAAGTTCTTGCCTTTTTCACCAACCTCCTATTGGGATACTACATTCAGATCCAATTTTTCAGCTGAAATCTGGAGTTTTTGGGATCGCTAGAGAGAAAACAGTTTTGAAGTTAGCTTCTGACCTTTTGCAATCTGGCAGAGTATTGGCAAAGGCTGATCTGTGGTTATAATGAGTTGAATCTTTTCATCCCTCTGCTGAATGCAAATATTTTTTTATTTGCTGTTTTTCTAAAGTTAGTATTTTTGTGTTTAAAGTGGGGAGACGCTTAAGCTGATTGCTGCATAATAATGACACTTCCTTTCTTAAAATCTTTTTTCCTGCTTGTGCTGTTACTTCTCACTGCTGTGCTGATCCACCTAAAATTTATTCCACTTGGCTCCGGTTAGGTAGTGCCAGTTCCGTTATGAAGAGGCAGGCTAGCATCTGTTCTGTCCTTCACATCCATAGGCTAAGTCCTGTGTTTCAGGTCCTCCTTAGTAGTGAGGATGGCTTAAATAGCAGGGAGAGAGTGGATTTGCCAGTGCAAGGTGCTGTTTCCAGATATGGTAAGTTAAAAATCCTTTTTGAACATACTTGCACTGAGATCCCTTAGAAGAAAATAATTCCATCTTCTGCTGCACCTATCACTCTGAAGTTATTTGCAAATTTAGCTGTACTGCTGAAAGGTGTAGTTATCTAGCTTTTTAGATAGCTTCCATCACTATAGTATTTTAGGCCCCTGTTCTTATTGTACACTGCTTGCTGGATGCTTGTCCCGTTTTAATGGAAGGAAGGTCTACAGAGCATGTCACTAACCTCCTCTAACACTGGTTCAAGTCAAGATTAATACTTGAGCCTTTGGAATCAAGTTCTCTAACTGGGCTGCTGGGAACCAAATACAGGCCACTGACTGTTGTAAAGAATGCACTCACTTAATCCTCTGCCCATTTGGTGGGGTTTCTCTATCGTCCCCAAAAGCTGAATTGTCTTTCATGAATACAAGTTGTGATGAAAGCTCCACTAACAGCATCGGTTTATTTAAAACAGAAAACAGAGTACAAAACTCCCTTTGATATTTCTCCTGTGTAAGGCAAACTGCTTGCTTAGCATTTTGCCGTTAGCCAGTTGAGCTCTTTCTACTTCTTTTTGACCTTGACATTGGAAACAGCCAGCCAGATCCTACATGTCAAAGCAGATTATGTTGCTGAGGCTTATGTTTACGGTGGTGTGTGTGGTAGTGGGGGCAAAGTGTAGCCAGCAATAGAACCAAATGGTGAACTGCTTTTGCAAAGAGCAGAGTAGCTCAGACCTAAAATTTGCCTTTACGAAGTTGCGTGTCTCCTACACGTTTCAAAAAGGGTATTTTTACAAAGCGGCTCAATTATGTCATCTCCTCCCTACCCCTTTCACAGGGAAGCTGTTGAGAATAGTCAGTGAGCCTTCAAATGTTATGTCCCATTGCCGGAAATGCCACAAGCTGGAGTTTCAATGGAGAGTGGAATGCAAGCTCTGTGGAGCAGGGACCATCTTGGTGTTTTGCAGTTCTGCAGCATTGAGGCATCAGTCTCATGACTAGGGTCTGGTTTAAATTGTGGGCCCAGCTCGCGACAGGCAGCTCCTTAATCTTGGAGTTCCCCCCACCCAGCTGCTACTTGGTGGAGGGGCCCTGTCACCCCCACCACTTGCCACTTGCTCCTGATGGCTGGGAGGTGAAATATCGTTTTAAATATGCCACAATTTTTCCCGTGTGAGGGGAACTCCAGGATTAAAGGAACTGCCACACTGTAAGCTGGGCCTGCAATTTAAACCAGGGCCTACTCATGACTGAGTAGTATTGCAGTACAAATAAAAAGACTGAGGAAAATCGTTCCAAGCATTTGTGAGACCTGGAGATTCCTAAAGAAGTTAACCACTTTGCATTGCTGTGTCCCTTCCCCTGCTTGCCCTCCCTGTACAAGAAAAAAAAATCCAGCATAGAAATACCAAATTGGTTTGCTTTTTATTGTTGTGAGCTTTCTTGTGGCTTTTTTATGGCTGTGTTTTTCTTTTCACTCCTGACCTTAACTTTGAACATCCTTGTTTCCAGACATGTGTGGGTTGTTCTTTCAAGAGCTACAATGTTCCCACAAGAGGTTTGAGTTTGTTTTTTTTTTTTTTAATTCCTCTCATATTTACAAACCTAACTTCAGTTTAACCGAAGTTTCCTAGCCTGGTAATCACCGGCCTCTTATAGCTGCAGAAGTCTTACTTTATTCTGAAGGGGTCACGTTCAATATAGTCCAGGTATTACCTCCCCAAGAATGAACAGACAGAGCTGCCCTAACATTTAAAACTACATCTCAGTTCTCAGCTGAAAGGAGGTTCTTCTGGTGAACAGTACCATTCTAGAGAGCGTTTAGGGTGGTGTTTTCAGGTCTTCCTAAAGGATCAGGATGTTAAATTTCCATTGATGTAGATGGACTTTGGGAACCCAAACCCTAGGCACTTGAAAATGAGATCGGCATACTAATGAGAACCCATGAGTTACCAGAAAAGATACAAAATGTGTTGCAGATCTTTAGGGGTGCACCAATAGAGATTTTTGGGGCTGATACCGATAGCTGATTTTTAAGGAGGCTGATACCAATCCGATTTCCAATACTTGACCAGGCAGCTTGAAGAGCTGCATGCAGCTGGCAAGTCTGGTGTGGTGGAAGGGGTGTGGGGGGGCAGATCAAGGTCCCTGCAATGAGGGAGTCGTCGGTTGGGGCTGGGGTAAGCACTGCCCAGCTGAGGCAGGCGCGGCTCATCTGGGAGGTGCAGGGAGGGGGGCGCGGCTTCCACCACTATGTGCTGCTTGTCTAGGAGCTGCTGGTCTGGTGTTCACCCATTCATCCGGCTGCTCCCGCCGCTTGTCTGAGAGGGCATGGGGAAGGAGGGGCGTGTGCCCCTGGATCTGCACAGGGCAGGGCAGGCTGGGGCTGCATGGGGCTCTTTCTGCCCCGCTCTGCCTTGCACAGATCTGGGGGTAGATGCCCTGCCCTCCTGGATGAGTGGCGGGAGCAGGTGAGTGCCGAACCAATGGGTCCCGGACAAGCAGCCCGCAGTGGCGGAAGCCATCCCTCCTTTCTCCGTGCCCCCTGCCTGCCCCGGGCAGGCTTGCCCCAGCCCCTGTCCTAGCTCCACTCCTCCCTCACTACGGGGAGTGGATCTGATCTGACCCCCCCACATCCCTTCCTCCCCACTCCCTCTTCCAGCACACCAGACTTGCAAGCTGCATGCAGCTCTACAAGCTGCCTAGCTGTGCTCCTCACTGCCTACATGCTGCGCTGCAGCTGGGCGCACGCACAGGCATTTATCGGCCACATCAGGCTGATTTCTGATACAATCAATTTGCTTTATATTGGTCCGATTTTGATACCGAACTGATGTATCTGTGCGCATTTACAAATCTTTATTTCTCGTCTTTCAGCCACAGAGACCTGGTATTTTTTCCTCCTGGCCTTGCTTCTTCCTCCTCTTGGTTAAAGGGCTAAAGCCAAAGTGTATTCTCTCTCTTGCTGTATGTGGTGTGGGTTTCTATATCGGGCACACCTACCTTGAAAGCTCTTTGTATTCCACATCTGGTGTTTTGGCTGGCTCCACTGTGTCTGAAAGCACTGAAATGCATGGTTTGTTCCTTGACTAGAAGACAGCAAGGTTGAAATTTGCACCGAGTTTCAATATTAACAATAAATGTTATCTTAATCTCCAACGGCTGAATAACTCTGAAGACATAACA